ACCCTCCCCTCTCCTATCTTCCAAAAACCCCTATGTGCGCAGCGGAAACACTATCGGCGCGGCGACTACGTCTCTCGTCATTAAACAAGAGCCGTGCTAACCCCTCCCCCGCCCGCAACAACAGATCTGCCACCACGACGGCAAGCGGAACTGGGGCATGTGCGAAATCAGACTCCGAGACAAGACGGGCGACTACAACGACTGGCGCTTCGTGCCGTGCAGCGCCGAGACGAGGCTAATGGTACGTTACCTCCTCCTCCTCCTCCTCCTCCTGCTGCTGCTGCCGCCATCAGTAACCACAACCCCAATCCCATCCCATTGCGCTGGGAATGGACGTCTTTTTTTCTCCATCATGGTAGATGAAAGGGGACGGGGCCATACCGTTGTGCTGAGGCCAAAAAGACTGACCCAAGAAAACCACAATTCACAGTGCCGTGACTCGGAAAGGCGTCGCATCCACTGCGAAGTCAAGTTCGACGATCAGCTCCCGGTTGAGCAACAAAAGGACGCGCGTTGCGACATCCAACTACCGCGGAACTACATCCATTCAACCTTTGGCGACTAACATGTAGACTTAAGGGAGGAAAAGGCCCGGCGTATTCCTCGACGCAGCCGCACAGCTCGAGGGGATCCCTCACAGTGAAGCAGAGGTCCGGGTGGAAATTGAACGGTGTTAGCCTCGCCCCGCCCCTTTCTGTCCCTCTTCGAATCCATGTCGTTGAGCATTCCTTCACATAAACGTCGAACATCCTGGTGTAGCACTTGTTTGTGCCTGAAGAAATGAGAAGCTTTCATGACTCTCTACTTTTCTCGACTCCATATATCACAATATTTCTGGAAATTATTTGCGCCCGTCAGTGTATAAGAACCTGTCTTCGCCCCAAATCATGCCATGCCCTCACTGCTTGTTCATGTGCTTGATACGAATCTCAACGGCCCGCCTGTGAGCCTCCAGCTCCTCCACCTTGGCGAGCTGCATGACAGCGGATCCGACGTTCTTGAGGCCCTCGGCGGTGAGGTTGGAGCAGGTGATGTGCTTCAGGTAGGAGCCGAGGTTGACGCCAGAGTACTGCTTGGCAAAGCCATACGTCGCTGTCCGAAATGTTAGCTCTTGGCACGAGAACAACAAAAAGAAGAAAGTTGGGGGGAAGCAGGGTTTGCCACATACGCAGAGAGTGGTTCACGCCAGCCGAGTAGTCACCCACGCTCTCCGGGGTCCACTGGCCGATAAAGACGCTGCCGGCGTTCATCACCTTGTCGACCACGCTGGGCGCATCCTTGATCTGCAGGATGAGATGCTCCGGTGCGTATTCGTTACTGACGCGCATGGCCTCGTCGATCGTCTTGACTTGCACGGTAAGGGAGTGGGCGATGGAACCACGGACAATGTCGACGCGGGGCAGAGCCATGGCCTGGTTGTGGACCTCATCATCTATGGCCTTGAGCTGCTCCTCGGTGAGGTCCACAGCGATGAGAATAACCTGACTGTCAACGCCGTGCTCGGCCTGCGACAGCAGGTCAGAGGCGACAAAGGCGGGGTTCGCGTCCTTGTCGGCGATGACAAGCACCTCGGACGGGCCAGCCGGCATGTCGATGCTCACGCCAGCGTTCGTATCGTTGCTGACATGCATCTTGGCCGCGGTGACGAACTGGTTACCGGGGCCGAGGATCTTGTCGACCTTGCTGACGCTCTCCGTGCCGTACGCCATGGCCGCAACGGCCTGAGCACCGCCAGCAAGCACGATGCTCTCGGCGCCGACCTTGTGAGCACAGTAGACGATCTCGGGGGTGATGGAGCCATCGGCACGGGGCGGGGATGCCAACACAATTTTCTGGCAACCGGCCACCTTGGCGGGAACACCAAGCATAAGAGCTGTGCTGGGCAGCACGGCAGTGCCACCTGGGACGTACAGGCCCACTCTCTCAATCGGTCTTGAGAAGCGGCCACAGACGACGCCAGGCATCGTCTCGACCGACAGCGTCTTGTCCTCCTTTTGAGCAGCGTGGAACTTCCAGATGTTGTCGTACGACGTATCGATCGCCTTGATAGTCTCAGGATCCAGCTGCATGAGCTCCTTGGGGAACGGAGCCTTGATAACCGGAGATGTCAGGGACGTGGCCTTTTCGAACTTGTGAGTGTAAGACAGGACAGCCTTATCGCCACCCTTGCGAACTTCATCTATGATGGGCGTGACAATCTTGAGGATGGCCTCGGACGACTTCTGGGAAGGTCGCTTGAGCTTCTCCAGGAGCTCCGCCTCGGTAGACTTGGTCGCATCAATCCTCTCCATCACGATGCGGCCCTCTGCAGGCTTGGGTGCAGGAGCGGGCGCGGGCTTCGGCGGGGCAGCATCCGTCTTGATACCCTCCTTCTCGGCCCACTTGCCTTTGGCGTTGCCGGTTCTCCTCGTCACCTTGAGGCTCTTGGCGTCGAGGTTGGCCTCAATGTCGGCCACGCTGACGCCGGCGCCAATGGCCCTGGTCAAGGCAAAGTAGATGAGATCGGCAGCCTCAAAGGCAACCTCCTCGGGCGCCTTGGCGTCGCATAGCTCCTCGGCCTCCTCCATGATCTTGGCACGAAGCAGCTTCTCATCCGAGAAGAGCCTGGCGGTGTAAGAGCCCTGGGGTGCTGACTCCTTCCTTGACTTGAGTGTCTGCTCGAGGGCCGCAATGCCCTTGAGGTCGCCGAAGCATCCAAACTGCTCCAGGTGGCAGAACCGGCCTGTCTGCTTAACGACAAACTTGAGAGTGTCCGAGTCGCAATCTAGAGACAGGCGGACCAGCTCCTGTGTGTCTCCCGATGTGGCGCCCTTGATCCACAGACCCCGTTTGCGGCTCTGATAGACGCCCTTTTGCGTCTTCAGGGCCTCGGCGATGCTCTCCTCGCTCGAGTAGGCAAGACCCAGAGCGATACCGGCCTCGTCTGTGACGACCGTGGGAACGAGACCATCCTGGCGGTCCGACTTCCAGTAGGCCGCAATGACCTTGGACAATAGTAGCTTGGATGAGTCGGCCTTGTCTGTCGTGAGACCCGTTGAAGGCAGGACCGGAATGGCGTTGCTTTTCCGGGCGACCTCGATGAACTTGTCGAGGCTAACACCAGCAGCCGGCTTCAGGAACAGGTTCTTGATCTTGGCAGCCTGGGCCTGCTCAATGAACTTGTCCAGGCCGGAAGCGTTGGTGTCGATATCCTTGATCAACAGGCCGTCTTTGGAAGCGGCGGACAAGTCGAGGGTTGAGACGGCGGGCAGGACCCTGGCTCCGAGATCGGTGTACTCCGGCAGGGACTCGGGCGCGACAAAGACCTTGCGCGCGCCGCGGTCCAGCAGGGCGACGACATCGTCTGGCGACTGCAGGCCGGTGGCGTCGACGTGAGCGCAGAACTCGTAGTTGTGGCGGTTGAAGAAGCGGCCCAGCTTGTCCTGGATCTTGGGCGTCGCCTCAATGAAGGGATTGCCCAGGAGCGACACCTCTTCGCGGTTGAGGCCCTCGAGATTGGCGAGCCCCGGGGGGATGGCCACGCTGACCAGGAAGGGCAATGGGAGTTCTGTCTCCATGGCTGCGGCGGACGAAGCGAAGGGAATCGCGGGCCGTTCAATTCCAAGCAGAAGCAAGAGTGAGGATGACAGTCAAGTGAGTCAGTCCCCTCCGTCAGGCGTGGCCGGGAAGGGAAAAAGATCTTGGTGGGGTCGGCGTCACTGCAGCCAGGCCCAGCAGCTTTGCCCCTCCAAACTGCCGCCGCTGCGCATTGGCGGTGGCGCCATTGGCCGCCAGCCCACCTGCCGTCGTCCGGTCTGTGTGCTGCAGGTGCCCTTGCTGCGATTGCTGGCGACCCGCAACGGAATAACGACTCCCCGCGGCGCAACTGCCGCCCATCGCTCGCAACTGCGTCCAACTGCTTCCGTGCGCCATCCATCAATTGGCCGTGCAACGCGACCCGTCACATCTCCGCAACCACAGTTCCTCCGCTCTGCACCGCGCACCTTAAGCACTTGGCGCGCAGCAAGCTCCCGGGGAACGCGACGGAGCTTGAAACATCTCCAACAGACTCGGAGTCGCGAGCTCCTCACATCGACAATTTCGCCGGGCCAGCACCGGTGAGACTCCAGCTCAGCATGGCAAGCCAATCGCAGCCCAACGGCGTCTCTACCGCCTCGGCCGGCACGTCGCAGACCGTACCGAACACGCAGGCCACGGGCTCCAACCAACCTCCCGCCTCCTCACAGCAGCCGCAAGCATCGCAACAATCACAACAGCAAGGCCCTTCTCAGCCCGCCTCGGCCTCGGACCCGCGCCCTCGCGATGCCCGCCTCATCGAGCTCCTCCTGACCTCTCAGGGCGTTACAGCGTACGAGCAGCGCGTGCCCCTTCTCCTCCTCGACTTCGCCTACCGCCACACCTCGTCTATCCTTAGCGACGCGCTCCACCTCGCCGGTGACCCCTACGTCACGCAAGCCGGCTCCAAGCCCTCTGCCTCCTCTGGCGCGACCGCCACGGCCCCGGGCGAGGCGCCCATCACAGCCAACGCCGTCAAGCTTGCCATCAGCGCCCGTCTGGCCTATCAGTTCCGCGGGGGAAGTGCTGGCGGCGGCATCAGCAAGGAACACATGCAGGAGCTTGCCCGCGACAGAAACAAGGTCTCGCTACCCAAGATAGTCCCCAACGAGTGGGGTGTGCGCTTGCCCAGCGAGCGCTTCGTCCTCACGGGCACGAGCTGGGGGCTTAAAGACTTGTGGGAGGGCGACGAGGATGCATCCGACGACGAGGACATGGATGTCGACCAGCGGCGGCCACAGCAGCCGGGAGGCGATGCAATGGAGGGTGTCGAAGGCCCCAATCCTGAGGACGTCGGCGGCGACGGGGTCGAAGGAGGAACGGTGGAAGACGTCTTTGGCGATGACGTGGATGAGGAAATGGCCGAGGAGTGAATTCGAGACTAGGCGCAATGGTGGGATCGGCCGGGACAGGGGGCGAATGGGCGAGCATCGGAGCTGGCGTTTTCGGCGTTTTGCAAGCCCGCAAAGCACGGGCTGCTAGATATCAATCACTTCAAAAGATTTCTGCCTTCATTCCCGAGTCGATTGTCCGCCCAAGTACTGTGTACGGAATAACCCTTGTGTCGTCCCGACGCGACGCCTCGATGCCATGTAGCAACGTTGAAAAAATTAGGCGTGGGACGGAATCACCACGTCGCCTGCTGGAAGACGCACAAAGACCATGTTGCTCGCGTTGCCATCTTCAACGTCCTCACTGGCGTCGGCTGTACAAATGAAATCACTTCAGATCCCTCATACCTAGCATGAACAAGTGGAACTATATGATACACTAGGGCCTGTAAAAGGTATCTCATACACTCTATACCCGAGTCTCGCTTTTGCCAACCCTGCCGGCCTGCTCTCTACCTTTAAAACTTGGGCTTCATGGTGTTCCTCAGTCTCTGGTAGTCGAAGAGGTTCTCAATCTTGCCCACGGCGCTGATGGCAATGTCCTTGTCCCAGAGCTTGCGGTTGGCGAAGTCCATGACCTCCTTCTCGGTGATGGCGTCGATCCGGCGCTCGATCTCGCCGGGCATCATGCGGCGGCCGGTGGTGATGAGCTGGCGGCCGACGTCCTCGGCGACGGCGGTGGTGCCGTCGAGAGACAGCAGGATGGAGGCCTTGAGCTGAGCCTTGGCGCGCTCGACCTCGGCCTCGCTGACGTTGGTGCACAGACGCATCCACTCACGGATGGTGAAGTGGACGAGGTCATCCAAGCGGGTGGTGTTGTCGGTGACGAGGTAGATACCCCACAGACTGTACGCATCGGTTAGCCATTGCTCACTTGTCCGGTAGGAAGGGCGTGACGGTGGGAACGTACCCAGTGTCGCTGTAGCTGGTGGAGAAGCTCATGAAGCTGTTGGCGAGCTCGTGCTTGTGGACGAAGCCGCTGAGCTTGCTGCCCTGGTGGGGAGCGTTGCCCATGGCCTTGTCGTAGTTGCCGACGATAGCCTGCGTGACCAGGGCCGTGAAGTAGTCCTCCGAGTTCCAGCTGACGCCCTCGACGGCAATGGCAACGTTGGCGGTGCCCATGGTGTCGTCGCGGACACGGACATCGGAACCAATGAAGTCGGCCTTCTGCTTGGACAGGAGGTAGGCGTGGTTCTCGGGGCCCTTGCTGGGGAGACCGGAGAAGTGCTTCTCGGCCAGCTCGACGAGCTTCTCGTGGGGGATGCCACCAGCGCCGACGAGAACCATGCGGTCGGCAGTGTAGTTGCTCTTGATGTAGTTGACCAGCTCGGTGCGGGTGATGTCGCGGATGTTCTGGCGCGGGCCCAGGATGGTGCGGCCCAGGGGCTGGTGCTGGAAGGCAGTGGCGTGCAGGTGGTCGAAGACAACCTCCTCGACCTGCTTCTCAACCTCCTCGGACTCGCGGAGGATGACGTCGCGCTCGCGCTCGATGGCAGACTCCTCGAGCTTGGAGTTCTGGAGAATGTCGGAGAGGATATCGACGCACTGGGGAACGTCGGAGTTGAAGGCCTTGGCGAAGTAGACGGTGTTCTCGCGCTATGGAACGGTCAGATGGCGTGTCCCGGGACTTCCTTGTGACAGACATACCGAGGTGTAGGCGTTGAGGTGGCCGCCCATGTTCTCAATCTCCAGCTCCAATTGCTGCTGCGATCGCTTGGCAGTGCCCTTCAATCAATGTTAGCGCTCGGATGTCCCAATCGGTGTGGCACCGAGCGTGCCGTACCTTGAAAGCCAGGTGCTCGAGGAAGTGCGCGGTGCCGTTGGTCTCGTTCGTCTCGGCGCGCGAGCCGGCATCGATCCACATGCCGACCGTCGACGTTTGCGCCCATGGCGAGTGCTCAGTGGCGACCTGTATCGCTGCGGGTCAGCATCGCGCCTGGAGAATGCGTGACGGGGCCAATTGGCCCCGCGGTGATGATGCTCACGGTCAGTCCGTTCTTCAGCGTCGTGGTCTGAGTCTTGCCGACGGTAGAGGGAGTCGCGAAGCCTCGTCGGAAGGCACCGGCGGCCGACAGACCAGCACGGCTTCGCAGGCCCTGCGACAGGTTCAAAGCTAGTCTGCGGGACGCCATGGGGAGAGCTTTCGGGTGTCGGGAAAGGGTTGAGTGGTTTGAATGAAATCTTTCAACCTCGCTCGGCTAGAAGCTTTCCTGAGGTAATTAGTGGCCTGAAGTCCCAGGCGTCGACTTTTTTGCCATTCCGACACGCTCCGAGGCTTAGCCCCAGGGCACGGCGAGCCAATCGAACGCCACCATTTGTCAACCCTCTGTTTAGGTAATTCGTCCCCAGCATTTAAGGCGCCCGCCCCTGCGACGGGCAGCTCAACCGTGCTTGTGATGCTGTCACGGCACGGCCCTGAGAGTCCCGCTTTGCCAACTGTATGCGAGCGTGTCCCCTGCGAAGCGTGCAGGCCGCAAATTGTTAGATATCTGCCTGTCTTCTCTCACGTTACTTTGGCTCTCCCGCGCTGAATCCGCGACGCCCGCGTCCCTTGTCCGGGCTGCCTAGGGCCAACAGTCCGCCATGACTATCGAGGAATATGACTTTTCCAAAGAGTTCAAGAAAATATACATTTCGAAACAGAGACCTGCTCCGGACCCTGTCGCGGCAGACATGAAAGTCCGCCTTCAAAGCCTTCCTGCCCTAGGCCAAGTGACACAGGCGGAAGGCGGCCAGCTCACGCTCACGGCAGTCCTCGAAGTGCCGCAGGACCAGGCTCAGGAATCTTGGCAGGTCTCTTTGTGGTTGGCTCTAGACGGAGCTGAATGGCGAGAACAAGCCCTCGACCGACTCGATATCGGTCAGGAGCCGCCATCTCTGCAGCCAGTTGAAACATCAATGTCACGCACGTATTTCACTGGCATCTTATCACTTTCAAAATCCATTCAATTCACTCTCAAGTTTCGCAGTGGGCAAGACCAAGAGTGGAGATGGATTCGCGATGAGCACGGTCTCAACGACGGCCTTGTTGTGGCCCGCGCATCTGCTGCAATGACAGTCTCGTTGCGCGACGTCATACCAGGCCTCAATTCGGAATGGAAAGTGACAGAGCACATGAGTCAAAGCCCACAGACTCAACTCTGGTCTCTCGAAGCTGATATAGCAAGTGCTGTTGGGGACGCCTCCACCTTCAGAGACATCGAAATCGGGAGACCCTGGGGTGCCTACCTGAGGTGAGGGAGACCTGGCTGCCACTCTGCCGCTCTCAACCCCAGGATGTTATCCCCTCGTTTCAATGTGAATCTGATAGCTGATGCACTCGAGGCAGGTGGTTCGCGCTCGTGCGCCTTTGGGCGCCGTGGCTGGCCCCGCGACAGGGCAAGGATCACCTACGTCTCGACCAAGACGCTGTCATGTGTTCCTTCATGAGTCCACAGGGGAAAACCGTCACACTTCTCGCCTTTGGCGGCGTAGGCAATGTGTTGAGTACTTTACGCCATACCGACAAGGGTGGCGTCTCTGCTCATGTAGGATTCGCGGCTCGCATGCATATGTACCATGCTTACATCGCTAGGTGAGAAACGACGGAACATCAAGCGAGCGTGCCGTCATCCTTGTTTCAGAGGGCACTGATTTTGACCGCACCGTTGCATCTGTAATGTATCACGCAAGAAGTATCGTCTCGAAAATCAAGCATTCAGATGTCGCTTGGGACGCCGAGCTCAAGACCTTGACCGAACAGGTCAAGCCAGAGTGGAAACAGAACTGGTACGATGGTCTGGGATTCTGTAAGTCGTGACTCTGCTGCGTGGAGGCCCAGCCGCTAACTAGACAGGCACATGGAACGGACTTGGCCAGCGACTCACAGAACAAGCAGTGCTGGATGCCGTTGGAACGCTTGCAGAGCACAAGGTGAATGTGACGAGCCTTATAATTGACGATAACTGGCAGTCGATCGACTACAAAGGCGACGGGCAGTTCCAGTATGGATGGCTGGAGTTTGAAGCAGAGCCAAAGGCGTTTCCAAACGGCCTCAAATCCATGGTGTCCCGGCTACGAAAGCAGTATCCAGACATTCAGCACATTGCGGTGTGGCATGCTCTGCTTGGGTACTGGGGTGGCATATCTCGCGGAGGCAAGATTGATCAAGCCTACAAGACGGTTGAGGTAATTCGGGAGGACTCCAAGCGCCGAAATCTTCCTCTCGGAGGCAAGATGACAGTGGTCGCCAAGGAAGACGTAGCTCGGTTCTACGACGACTTTTACCGTTTCCTGACTGAAGCCGGTGTCGACGGCGTCAAGACGGATGCACAGTTCATGATTGACATGTGGACAAGCGCGTCTGTCCGGCGGGACCTCATCGAGACGTATATCGATGTCTGGACACGAGCGTCGCTGCGATACTTTAGCGTCAAGGCCATCTCGTGCATGTCGCAATTTCCTCAGGCCATGTTTCATTCTCAGCTGCCGCAGGATCGGCCGCCGCTGCTCGTGCGCAACTCGGACGACTTCTTCCCCGAGATACCAGCGTCGCACCCCTGGCACGTGTGGGCGAACGCACACAACAGCATCTTCATGCAGTATCTGAATGTGCTTCCCGACTGGGACATGTTCCAGACGGTGCATGATTATTCGGGCTTCCACGCTGCGGCCAGGTGCGTGAGCGGCGGGCCAATTTACATCACCGACGTCCCAGGCAAGCATAACATGCAGCTTATCGGCCAGATGACGGGTATCACAGCCAAGGGCAAGACAGTGATCTTCCGGCCAAGCGTGTTGGGAAAGTCCATGTATCCATATACAGGCTACGACGACGACCTACTCTTGAAGGTTGGGAGCTATCATGGTGAGTCGAGCTGCGGCATCAAGAGCAATGGTTGCCAACTAAGCTGTATAGGGGGATCGCAAACCGGCACGGGCATCTTGGGCCTGTTCAACATTTCTGCCCGATCATTATTGGAAATGATCCCTCTTGCCGATTTCCCCGGAGTTATGGCGGCGACCGAGTATGTGGTCAGGGCTCATAACACTGGCAAGGTGTCCAAGCCAGCAAAGCCCGGAGCTTCTGGCTCGCTGACGGCAATGTCACTGGATGTGCGAGGCTACGAGATCCTATGTGCCTTTCCGCTCACGTCCTACTCGGGACTCAAGCACAAGGACGGACGCACATGCACTCTTGGTCTGGTCGGCAAAATGACTGGCTGTGCGGCCATTGTGGGCAGCAGCGTCCGCCAGCGAGAGAACGGGAGGGTGCTTGCTACGACTCGGCTCAAGGCCTTGGGCGTCCTGGGTCCGTGACACCTTCCACCGTGTTTAGATGCGACAGGCCGAACTGACATGTGCACAGGTGTCTACGTTTCAACGCTGCCCGACATGACATTAGACGGCGACTTCATGGCAACCATGCAGGACAAGCCGGTTCCACGACACTGCGTGAGCATATCGCGTCAATCGGAGTGCGTGTTGGAGGTGGACGTCGAGGCAGCGTGGAACGAGATGGGCCTAGACAGCGGGCGGGGTGACGAGGTGGAGGTGACGGTCACGTTTGACACATGACGGGACAGCTGGGAGCATCCACCAGGATATTTCGTGGCCGCGCCGTATTCCCGCAGTCAGTCAAGTCGCAGGGGATATTGATGCTTGATGCTGAAGTCGCTGTTGGTGGCTGGGAACTTGGGCCAGAAAGGCTTACCAAGCATAGCGTAGCCTGTTCGAAATGCTCAGGTGATGGAGGGATCCATGGCCGGATGAAATTCCTCGACGGGACCCCTCATCGCGGTGAGTGAGCCCACCGAAACCGCTCGCCGGGCTGCCGTCAGTGCCCCGCTTCTTCCACTGCAGTGAGAGGGATCCGCCCCAGCGCCAGGGTCCTCCGCCGCGGTGAGTAAAAAAAAAATTTCCAGGCGGCCGCCTCCCACCTCTTCTTTTTCCTCTTGCCTTCTTTCTTCGTACGGGAAGAAGCGCCGTATCAACTCGTACCGGTCGATCTCGTTCAAGCCTCCTCATCGACACCTCAAGTCTTCAACCTCATTCCTCTTCTCTCCCCCCTCTTGTCTCGCAATGGCTGCCGCTACCATCAACAAGGGCCTCGAGGTCCTGGACCACTCCAAGGCCCTCGAAGTCCTGGCCGAGTACAAGAGGCTCGATGGGCTCGACATCCACGAGCTCATGGACACGACCAAGCACGGCGGTCTGACGTACAATGACTTCCTGCTGCTGCCGGGATACATTGGCTTCCCCGCCTCCGAGGTCGCGCTCGACTCGCCCGTCACGAAGCGCATCACCCTCAAGACGCCCTTCGTCTCGTCCCCTATGGACACCGTCACCGAGCACGAGATGGCCATCCACATGGCTCTCCAGGGCGGCCTCGGCGTCATCCACCACAACTGCTCCCCCGAGGCTCAGGCCGACATGGTCCGCAAGGTCAAGCGCTACGAGAACGGCTTCATCCTCGACCCCGTCGTCATCGACCGCAACCTGACCGTTGGCGAGGCCAAGGCCCTCAAGGAGAAATGGGGCTTTGGCGGCTTCCCCGTTACCGGTCAGTTCAGCCCTATTCTTCGAGTTCTTACTCCCCAACCCCTCGCGGCACTACATGATTATCACCCATCAATTTATAACTTTCGTTCCGCCGCATTGAATTTCATTTCATGTGGACAGCTTATACTATGACTACTGCACCAATTTTCTCCATTTCGCTCAGACTCGTGCTTGTGGGGGCTTTGATGCTAACTGGACACCAGAGAATGGCAAGCTCGGTTCCAAGCTGCTCGGCATCGTCACGAACCGTGACCTCCAGTTCGAGGACGACGTCGACCAGCCCGTGTCCAGCGTCATGGTCAAGGACCTCACCACCGCCCCCGATGGTGTTACCCTCACCGAGGCCAACAAGATCCTGGCCAAGTCCAAGAAGGGCAAGCTGCCCATCGTCGACAAGGACTTCAACCTCGTCTCCATGATCTCCCGCTCCGACTTGACCAAGAACCAGCACTTCCCCCTGGCCTCCAAGCTGCCCCACAGCAAGCAGCTGCTCTGCGCCGCTGCCATCGGTACCCGTCCCGAGGACAAGCTCCGCCTCAAGAAGCTCGTCGATGCTGGCCTCGACATTGTCATTCTCGACAGCTCCCAGGGCAACAGCATGTACCAGATCGAGATGGTCAAGTGGTGCAAGAAGGAGTACCCCGGCCTCGATGTGATTGGAGGCAACGTCGTCACCCGTGAGCAGGCCGCCTCCCTCATCGCGGCCGGCGTTGACGGCCTCCGCATTGGCATGGGCAGCGGCTCCGCGTGCATCACGCAGGAGGTCATGGCTGTCGGCCGCCCCCAGGCAGCCGCCGTGTACGCCGTCAGCCACTTTGCTGCCCGCTTCGGCGTCCCCTGCATTGCCGACGGCGGTGTCCAGAACGTCGGCCACATCGTCAAGGGCCTCGCCCTTGGCGCCTCGACCGTCATGATGGGCGGTCTCCTGGCCGGCACCACCGAGTCGCCTGGCACCTCCTTCGTTTCCCGAGAGGGCAAGTTGGTTAAGGCGTACCGTGGCATGGGCAGCATCGATGCTATGCAGGACAAGAAGGCCGGCAACGGCGGCAAGGACAGCCAGAAGAGCAACGCCGGCACCGCCCGGTACTTCTCCGAGGGCGACAGCGTCCTGGTTGCGCAGGGCGTCTCGGGCGCTGTTGCGCACCGCGGCTCCATTGGCAAGTTTGTGCCTTACCTGGCCGCGGGTCTCAAGCACTCCATGCAGGACTGCGGTATGACGAGCCTCACTGAGCTGCACGAGAAGACGAGCGACGGCACGGTTCGCTTCGAGCTCCGCACGTCTAGCGCTCAGGTCGAGGGCAACGTCAACATGGAGGCTTACGAGAAGAAGCTGTACGCATGATTTATATGAGTGAATGTTTGATGGGTCGGGTCATCTGCCGGTTGGTTGACAAGAAGAGACGCGACACACCTAAAAATGGGTTGGGTCTGTCTGACAAGAGCAAAATCTTTTCACTGGAGTTTAGGGTCGGGAGGAGCGTCAGGTAGACATGAAGGTTACTATACTTCTTAACTCAATACAAGATAGTGCCTGGCCCCGGATAATCCGAGGGTTTCATCGTTTCACACCACGAGAGCGCAAGCCTTGCCACCGCCGCCGCCGTCATCTGTGGGGGATATCATGCCAAAACGCCGCGCCGCCGCACTTCACCGCAGGAGTCGGTCGACTACTGCTTGCTGGGATAGCCCTCTTGGGGCTGCATCGGCTGGACGGGCTGGATAGGCTGCTGGCCGTGCTCCATCGGCTGGTGCTGCTGCTGGGCAGGCTGGTAGACTGGCGCCGGCATGTTCATTCCTTCCTTCTGGCCTTGGTAGCCCTGCGTGATGGGCTGCTGGTGGCGCATCAGAGGTGCTCGGACCTGGGACTCCTTCTCCTGCTGGATAACGGCACAGCAGAGGCAGCAGCAGCTGGTGAGGCAGTCGGTGCAGCCATTACCCTTAATCCCGTACGTCTCACGCATCTCGCTGCGCCTCAGGAGGTTGTAGCTAGACAAAACGCAATCAGCTTAGGCCCCTTTTTCTCGGAGCAGGGCGGCTGCGGGAGGAATGGCAAGGGCAGGCCCGGGGGAAGGAAGCAACGTACACGCAGGCACAGCCAGTGAAGAAGTGAATGACGCCAAAGAGCATGCATTCCGTGTTGACGATGTCGGGCTTCTCCAGCGAGGGGTCCTTCATGCGCTCCATACTACGGCCGAAAGCTACACGCGCGAAGAGTCAGCCCTTGAGTGCCCAAACCATGAGATGCTCGCGAGCGAGGCGCAAGAGACGCGAGGGAAGAAACGTACGAATGCAGGGAATGCAGCAGCCGAGCAGGCAGAGGCTGCAAGGCCCGCAGCTAAACAGCGAGTTGGACCATTCTCCCGAAGCGGCGTGCTGATGCTCGTGATCCATCTTGTTTGTAGGGCGGTTGACCGTGTCGATTGTGTGTGCGGTGACGGGCGCGCGTGTAGGTTGGTGAGAAGACGAAACGGGCGAGCGAGGCCTGTTCAGGTTGCGGTGGGCGGTGTTGGGAAACCCGTGTAAGTGCTACTGCGCAGAAGCGAGCGAGCGATCAGCAGCGAGAGTGGTGAATATACAAAACGAATTGATGAGCTGAGCGAATCGAAAGGGAAGAGAAAGAGGGCCTTTGGGAAGAAAGAAGAAGAGCAGGAGGAGGAAGTTGTCCGAGCGTGGGTTCACGAACGGCGACGAGCAGAATTAGTATTAGTAGTACGACGCAGGAGGTGGAGGAGGAGGAGCAGGAGGAGGAGGAACGGGAGCACCAAGGGCCCAAGAGTTGTAGGGCTGCGCCTTGCTGTGGATTTATTATTGCGATTGCCTGCCTTGGGCTGGCTGGCTGTCCGGGGGGGTCGAGGTCTGAGTTCCTCGGAACGGTCCCTCCACACGTCGCCAAGGTTTTTTTTCCTTCGTGTCTTGTCTTGCCTTTGGGCTGGAGCTCTCCCAGCTCTCTCTCCTTGGCTCTCACTCTCACATGGAGCTCTCCGTCAACTGCCAGCCCTGCAGCCGCAAATAAATTCTGCCCTACGGGCGACTGGAATGGGCATGCCGGCTTGTCATTGGGGGGAAACGGCCCTACCAGCTCCAAGCCCCCCTGGGTCAGCCATCCATCAGCCATCAGCTGTCGACCCACCGCCCCTCGCATGATGCACCCCTGCCGCTCACTGCTTGCTGCTCCAACAGCTGCTGCTGGAGCTGCTCTCTCACGGCTCTGTTTTTTGCATGTGGATGCATGGGCTGGACGACGACGACGGAGTTGGGACCCAGATCGACGGATAGAGTCAATGAGAGTGCGCGCGCCTGCGGCCCAGTCACCTCCCCCCTTCCCCTTCCCCTCCCCCCTCCATCAGCCTCAGGGCTGAGCGCGGATGCGAGGCAAAAGGTTTCCAACGTGTCGTGTCCAGACGGCCGCACTGGCAGGCACCTCGTTTCCCAAAACAGCCAGCGACCTTACGGTTTGAACGCACCAGTGAGGTGGAGATGGGCCGCCCCTCCCCCTTCGTCCACCCCCCCAGTCGCCCGGAGAGGGTCTCAGCCTCTTGGGCGCTGACAAGTGCCGGCGTGGGCTGCACGGCCTGGCTTGTTTGGTGCTAGGAGGACAGGACGGACTACGGGCGCCGGCGCAGGCGCAGGCAGGGTCGGGCCAAGCCTCTTTGCACGAAGAGCCCGAACCTGCAGCAGCAGTGCAGGGCAGGGCAAGGATCCCTCCTGCAAGCCTGAACCGACAAGGGCCCCGAGAGCAATGATACTGCTAGCTCCAAACCCAAAGGACGGGGACCCTCATGATTCCACACAGTGGACCGGGGGGGCAGCGAGTCGAGCTGACAACGGTGGGATACCCGCCGTTGTAAAAATGTAATACAACATGTCTCCATCCGCGACTTGGCCCTTTTTTGAGGCTCTGGACCGAGGGACCGAGGCGAGGCGAGGCGGAGACGGACGGACGGCCGTTTGTCTGTGCAATCTCGCACTTGCGTGCCGTGTGTGCCTTGTGCTCCCGCGCTTGGTGCTACGATGTGAGATCGCTCTCAAGGTCTGACAGACTTGGGATTGGGGGACCGGGGGACAGCATCATTGTGGCTTGCTTGTACTACGTACCACACAAGCTGTGATCTCTGCTTGCCCTGCTCTCCGCGCCCGGGCGACCCAATCGTAACTCCCAAAACATCAACAGGGGAACGGGGGCTTCAGACACATGGCGGGGGCACGGACATTGAGATTGTCAGGACCTGCTTCATGTCGGGGCGCCCGATGATGATGCTGGAGGGTTTGGCTCCCATTGGGAGGGCGGAACACCGTGAAGGATCAATGACGAGACGACGGCGATGATAATGAGGAGGTTGCAGCGGCAGCGGCAGCGGCAGCGGCAGCAGCCAGCCGCGCGCGGCCGACCGCACCGTCCAACCGCACAGGTCCCATGCCATGCATCATCAATTGGTTTCCATACGACGCGTCACTCTCACCACCCACTTCGTCAACGTCCCGCAACACCATCCTCTCCCTCGCCGACATCATCAGCATCATCCCCAGGCCCGCCGCGCCGCGTCCGCGTCCGCGCACTGGCCCGCGCCCACGCCGTCCCGCGGCTCAAGATCACATAGTCGGGCACCACCACCTTGCCGCCCCGCAGCCTCCTCTCCCGCGGCGACGACTCGTCCAGCCCGAACCCGAGCCCCTCGTAAAACGCCCTCGCGCGCGCGTTGCTCGCGAAGCACGTCAGCATCGCCTTGTCCACCGAGGGGATGCCCTCTGCCGCCGCGATGAGGTGGCCCATGAGCTGCTTCCCCAGACCGGTGCTGTGTGCAAAACCACATCCTGCAATCAGCAATGAACTTCCTGCTGCGTTTCTGCAGAGAAGTTTTTCAACTGCGGAAGAAAGAATGGATGAAGTATGGTGGGAGGGGGGAAGGGCTGCACTCACCCTTGCAGCTCGTCTTCGAGATGGATCTCGTAGCAGTAGACTACCGGCTCGCCGTTCTCGTACGTCGGCATCATGGACGTGAATCCACGTATTTGCCCAATGCTGTCCTTGACGAGGATGTACCGCAGGTCCGGGAGCCGCATCTCCTTCTTCTTGGCCGCCGGGTGCCACCCGACCGAGGAGCTGCGATAGTCATCGCCGCTCGTCTTTTCTACCAGGTCAAAGCAGGCATCCAGCTCCTCGTCAGTCATGTCCCGCGGTTGTAACAGGCCGAGCGTATACTCGGCGCCCGTCTTGGGGTGCCGCCACGTTGGCCAGCGGTCACTGCTGCAAGATTCACCGCGTCAGCAGCCTGCAACACAAGCTCCATATCTGTGAGGCGTAAAAGTTTGCACCTTGGATGTATGAATTCTTCGAGAAACTCCTCGTTGGACTTGCCGTTGGCCGTCGCAATGCCATCTCTCGGCTTGCGGCGCGTCGGCACCCTCGTCGCCGGCCTGTCGCGCGCCTCGGGCCTCTCAGCCGGGGACGTATCCGCCATTGATTTCCCAACGACGACCGACCGACCGCGCTGGCCCCGTGGTGTCTTTATGTCAATTGAGGCATTGGTTGCTCTCCGGGCGTGTAAGTCGAGTTCTGCCGATACGCGTTGCCCTTTGACAAGTTGGAGGAAGGAGACGCGACGAGGTGCTTAGCCGAAGTTCCACCGACAAAGCCCATCTTCAAGATTTCGTCACCAGAGAAAGCACGCGGTCCTCAAAGCCCGGCGACAGTCTTCGCTGCAGGTACGGAAGTAGGCAGGCAATTGCAGCTGCCCACCTACCAGGTTCGCCTACCAGACCGATGCAGTGCCCTTTATAGCACGTCGCGCGCACATGCTGCGCACCTTTTCCACGAGGCGGCGCCTCGGAAGCGCCCTGAGCCTCGATCACGTACGTGCATGACACTCTCATGGGTCGAGAGACCCTTGTTGCCCTCGCCCTCACAGCCCACGCTCCGTCGACAAGACCACACATGCATACATCACATCACGACAAGTCACTAACCCGCCCCCCGACAACAGTTCCTCCAGCGCACCCGCGTCCTCGCCTTCTACCGCACCATCCTGCGCGGCACGAGGCACATCGCCGACGCCAGGACCCGCGCCGAGACGCGCCGCTACGTCCGCGACGAGTTTGAGCGGCACCGCAACGTCACCGACATTGTGCGTCCCCTTTCGCCCTTTCCCCTCCCCTTCACTCCCCTTCCTCATCCTCACGCTGGGGCTGTCGACTGCGTGCTGTATTTCTCAACTGACATTTCTTCTTTGTTGCCCGTGTGTAGGCTCACATACGCTACCTGCTGTCGACGGGCAAGACGGAGTGGGAGAGCATGGAGAGGTATATCGGGGGCATGTAGAAATGTAGCCCCAAGGTAGTAGCAGCCCTGTGATATAATATCGAGATGCCTGTAATTGTACATGCGCGCGCTTGGTGCGCACGCGAAAGGCCCTGCTGCCGTCTCAAGCGCCAGCCTGAACCCTCCAGCTGTTCCCCCGGCGTCCCCAGCCTCCATGTACTCGGGACGATGTCCCACCGGGTTCGCTCGCCGTCTTTGTCTAATGCAATTGCTCGTTGCCATTCCGCTGTGCCGCGCCCCATACTGTACAGACCCCAGAACCCCCTCGCGGCGCACCACCAAGGCCGGACGGACCGTCGTTCGTCGCCCGACCACGGTAAAAGAGAGAGGGGAGAGTATATGTGTGCGATCCCCTCAGCTCTGGCGCTGCTTGTGCCTCGGGTTCGCCTTGCAGATGATGTACAAGTATCCGTTGTGTCGCTTGCCGGCCTTTCGTCGAACAACCTGCCATTCCCCCGTCCTCGTCAGCACACTTCGCCTGTCCCCCACACCACTGTCCCCCCAGACTGCGCTGCTTCGCGCATCGGGGACACAGGGACGCAATGGCGCACGACGTACCTTGCAGTGCTCGCAGCGCTTCTTCACCGAGCTGTGCACCTTCATCCCCCTCGTCTGCTGCATCAATCCGCCGCCGACGACCGTCCTCGCGGCCGGTGCAAGCCAGCCCGCCGTGGCGCCGAACAGTGACGGCGTCCAGGCCGTCGTCTTGCCCGCGAGCACGCCGACCGTCTGTCGAGCTCCGAGGAGCCGTGCGGGCAGCGCCAGCGTCCGTAATAAGGAGTTCATCATGTGTGTGTGGTCGGTCGTTGGGTTGAGCCTTTCGCTGGACAGTCTCGGAGGTTGTTGCATCGCCAAAGTCCATCGAAGTGCCGCCAAAATTTCCAGTCACGTGATACCACACCACGTTCTCAGACGACCGCCACTGCCACGCAACATCGCGACGGCATCAGCAGCCCGAAATCGCCAAGGCAGGTCATTCAGACTGAAATTACGATTTCCTACTCTGCAAATGTGCAGCTCGCACCGAATTACTAATCTGACCTCAACCCCCCAACCTGTCCGCGGTGATCCAGCGAATCTCAACCACCCCCTCCATCCCCTGGACGCCTCGACAAGTCGTGATCAACCCCTGGACCAAACGCCATGCTGTCCCGTAGCTTTTCAAAAGCAGTCTGCCACCAAGCAGAGCTTCCCCTCGTCCATCAAACGTGTCAGCGCGACATCTCTCACCTCCAAATTATTGTCGCGCCAGCCAAATCGTCCTGGAATCCTTCAAAGCCCTCGCGTTGTCATCTCCTCCTATAGCCATTTTCTCAACTTCTTTTTCCCACCGAAAATGCGACCCGACGTTCCTCTGCACAAGCCAACTGATCACCAGAAGCCAGGCTCGGACTGTGGGTCCCATGTCATACTGGCCCTTTTCTTCTCGCGCTCGCGTTCATCTTTGACGGCGAGCATGCTCATGCACCGGGTAAAGGTGGTACCGTAGTTCGGCGGCTGGCACTCGTGGACGTGATCCGGAAGTCGGTCATCGAAGCGAGGCCATGCCTTGCCCTTCTCGGTCACCGGAACGCCTTCGGTTCGGAGTCTCCAGAGGACACGAGAGTACATGTCAAGTCCATTAGCCTCGTGCCTGGCGATTCGCCAGGGCTGCTTGGACTCTGGTCCCTCTAGGAGCTCTGACAGGGACGGGAGGCCCTGGAGTGAGTCAAATGTCCGCTTCCTGTCTCGAACAAAGGTGTAAGCGAGGCCGGCGGCCGGGGTCTGCGTTCGAACCGACTCGGTCGTCTTCAGATTGATCAGAGCGCGCGATGCGGCGGCGAGGGGCGCCTCGTTGTTGAAGGCCTGTTTGTTCCAGTCCGGGAAGAGATTGTCAAGAAGCGCTCTCTTTTCGGGCCGCAGCTGACCCTTGTCCAGGTCGAGTTCGGCCTGCAGCATGCATCCCGCGCAAGTGCGGGCGTGTGCCGGCATTTGTCGCGAAGCACCAGCCAAGAAAAACTCCTTGACCACCTCATACCCACACGAAGAGCAGAAGTAGAAGGACTTGCCCATCCGATCAATGTAGTAGCTGGACCAGTCGTTTCCGACCTTTTCCAGACCGACCCTCACCGGCTTCAAAAGGTCGTACATCAACTGCTTCTGCGCATTCTCGCCTTTGGACCTGCGCTTGTGTTGGCCCACAAGCCGATGGCATGCGTCGAGAAAAGTCGCCATTGAAAGCTCATTCTGCGGAAGCTTGAGCAGATAGCTCAGCAGTGCTCCCTCCTTGGAGAAGAGAAGGTCCAACTTCATGGCCTTTGCCTTCATGAAGGCCTTCAGAACGAGGCACAAGACACCACGCTGAACAGTCTCCAAGCACAGCGGACCCCAGCTGAGTCCGTACGCTTCTGCCCGATGAGGTTGATGGGAGGACATTCCTCTGTGGAACTCGGGGCAGAAGTCTAGTGCCTTGACTGTAGGCTGGTCGTTGGCCCGTCTGTCTCTGTTGATTTCATGAATCAGGTCGAGCAGGCAGATGATGTCGCCAAAGTGGACGAGTGGACAGCCGTATACTCCGAGCATCTCGACCTTGGAGCAGGCCCTCAGGATGATGGCCAGCAGGCGGCGGTCCAGAAACGGAACCTTGTGAAAGTGCAGGACTGTCAGCGTGTTGGAGCGTTCCAAGATCTTGCCAACTGAAGACATTGTTAGCCGGCGTGTTCATTGTGACAGGAGTGCAAAGTCGGGGACACTTGCGCATGGCATGGAGCTGGTCAAGCGCAAAGCTTGACGAGGGTCTGAACACCTGCAGCCGCGGAGCAGTGACAAACTGGTTGGACAAGTGAATAGTCTGAACGACCGTCAGGAGGCGTGTGTACTCCACAATGTCCTTCGAGTGGTGTCCCAGCTTCGGATCGTAATCCGGCTTCCTAGACAGGCGAGTGTGTAGTGCCTGGATGGAAAAGTAGATATGCTCTTCCGCGGTCATGGCTTTCTCGAACCAGCCCGCAAGGGACTCGCTCGAATTGAGCCCGTACGGATCGCATTTCTGCATGTCGCGGAACTCGCCAACCGTGTATTCGGGCGTCACTGCAATGAAGACCTTGGCAGGTCCGTCGGTAGAGAATTCTCCGGCATAAAAGTCCCAGATTTTCTGTCCTCATCAGCATCTCTCAACAACAGCAGCTGGGAAGCTGGACCTACGGCACTGTGAGTAACTGCGGCCCAAGACTGAGTCGAAGTAGTGGCAGCCGAGAGCACTGTTCTGAATCCCTTTGAGAACAGGGATTGGGAAACAAGGCCGCCAATGTCGACCGTGTTGAGGACTTGCGCGAGTTTGTTCTCGTCCGCGTTCCATGTGTTGGTCTGTTCGCCGTCGAAGCGTCCCGACATGAGAGAATCTCGAAAGGTCAGAAATCCCTAGTGTAAGGGCGTCAGCAGGGGAGCCTTTCCCTCAATAATGTCCGGTCAACTTACCCTGGTGAGGCATCGTCCTTGGGAAACGACCTTCCCATTGAACTTGCGGCCGCGTCCTTGAACGAAGGAGATAAGTTCAGGCCTTGGGCGGCAGTAGTGGTCGACCACCTTGTTGTAGTTGGAGACCAGCGTTTCCACGGGCAAATTCGTCATGGCATGATGAAAGCCTCGGTTCTCCAAGGCCTCCCTGGACAACTTGATGTCGTATGGATGGATGACTGCCTCCGTTGTTAGTTATCGTCACTACAAGCTGCGGCAGTGGTCATCTCACCTGCAACGCCCAAATCGGGCTGACGGATGGTGAGCCGGGAGCAGTCTCGAAGGGCCAGCCCTTTGTCCTTGTTCTGGCGACGGTTTGTGCCAACTGGTGCGGGAGTAACCGGAACTGCACCAGGGACTGCCGCGTTCTGTGACGAACGTCCTGCGCCGGATGCGGAGTTTGCAGTAGAACTGCCGGCGGTGGAATAGGAAGCAGAAGCACTGCCAGCTGGCTTCTTGCCGCGACTCTTCCTATTTCTCGCCATGGTGTAGATGGTGTGGCCTTGCGGCAAACCCTTGCAAAAGCCTGCAGGCAGGTTAGCGACGAGTACAACATTTGAGGCCTGACATCAGTGAACGTCCTCGGCGTGATTCTGTAGGTAGAGAGGTAATGATGTGAGTAGGGAGAAAGGTGCAGTGATGGAAGCAGCTGGACCATTCTGGATGTGTTTTGCATCACTCGGCTCTTGCCATGCGCGAGGCAGGAGCTGCACTGTAGGACGCGCGCGCTAGGCCTGGTTTCTCACACAAAGGGCCGAGACTGAGAAATAAAATGTTTGCTCACCTTGTAGCTTTGGCCACGATGGAAAAGGCTCAAATGTCGACGAGTGCTCAGAGCCAACGGGATTCCGTCAGTGCGCCGCCGGTGATGCGGTCGCTATTCAGCTCGAAGCTGGTAGTCGTAAAAGCCGCCCCGTGAGGTGCGAAACGTTGAGAGGCGATCAGAAATGCAACTCCTTGCCGTGGGCCAAGGAGGATGTTGGTAATTTTGGTTGGGAACGAGGCTGCTGTGTGGTGGCCTCGAGTGTGTCACAGGGGAATAGAAAAAGAGAGCTTGTGAGAACGTGTCGTGGGAAAGTAGCTGGACGAGACGTGTCGACCGAGAGAAGTGTAAGAAGAAAGAAACCGTTTCCTGGCGCGCTTCGCGTTGCCGACGTAAACAAGCGGTGGACTTGCTGGTGACTCCAAGCCCAGCACGAGTCGGGGTAAGGTTTGTCGACTAGCCAAGCAGGCGGCCACGATGAGGCCGGTGTAGAGGCCAAGCGAGAGTTCTCACGTCACCTGGGGATCGCGTGTCTCTTGGCCGTTTTCCGGCTGGCGAGAGGGATTTGTGTTGAGCGTTCCCCTCGTGCAAACGTTGGGGTGGTCTCTGCCAAGGTGAAGCTCCTGGAGCAGTGCACTTGGGAGCGACCAGGCCAACAGCCAACGGAGACTGGCGAGCTTCTTGAATGTCTGTCCAAGATCTCTGTGCGGTGTATGCGTGGTGAAAGAAGAATGGGAATGAGGTGCAGGTTGAAAAAGTGTGTGTGTGGGAGGAGTGGGAGGAGAAAACTTCCGTGCCCAGGAGGTCGAGGTAGATGGAAACGAAAGAAGCTGGGCCGAAGCGGACCCGAGACTTGAAACAGTAGACGGCCTGTGAAAGACCGAAGCAGTGAATAAGTCAGAGAGAACCAACGGCGGCTCGCTTAAGTGAAAGTTACCACGCGTAG